CGTCATTGTTGTTTGGCGGGTCCGGGCTGGGGATTCGAACCCGCCACCTTAGGTGTACGTGGCTGGCGCCTTAGCTGGTTGAGCTATGGGCGCCGAGCCTAGAAAAGTTTTTGAAGGTAGATTTGCTGATGGGCTGGAAACACAGTGGGAAAAGTAAAGACTCAAGATTGATTTATAGGTTTTGCTACAGCCCTCAACTGAGATGAGAATGTGATAATCACACACAAACACAGTTTTCTTTTTAAAGGCTACAAGGCTTGAAACACAGATGCAAATCTATTTGGAATGCCATGTCTATTACAAGTACTAAAATACGTGTCTGGCAGACTAGAAATTTTTTCTCTTCCTCAAAGTCCAAGATTAGACATGCATAATGGCACAACTGGGTAGAGAATTACTACAATCATTACACTATAAATACTGAAGATAGGCACTAATGTTGCCTAATCCAATCTTACAGCTCAACAGAACCATATCAAGTAGTTGAACATACTCACTGTTTTACAGAGTTCACTGTCAGGATGGTTCAGGTAATTCAGAAATTATGTATGTTGGAGGTGTACAATGCTTAGAAGGAGCAATCACCATGAGACAGTATGTCAACAAATCATCATGGGAATAAATGGCAACTGAGACAAGGCAAGTGTAGTCCGTGCAACTGTAGTTCAACAGAAACCCTGAACTAATCCTTATTCCTCTGATAGGAGGAAGACTGTTATTTTAACAGATGCTACTTAGATATGAACTTTGTGTGTCTGGTATGTATGAGACCAAAAAATGTATGTCTTCAATGTAATGTCTATCTGTAACATATACACACAATATACTACAGTGAGTTTGAAAGTGGTCATATCTATTGGGATTGACAGGACTACAGGACTTTTTTTTCCTTTTTACTCATCTGTATTTTGCTATTTTTCTACACAAATTTGCATCATCTGCCCCAAAAGGACAATAATGCATGTGAAATGAATTTTAAAGCCACGCAACACATGACCTCAGTATATAAGGCACAAGTATATAAGGCACAATCACACAAAAGCCAAGATCATCAGGGCAAAACTAACCAAATATTTCTGAGGCAGAAATGTCCACAGACACACAGATGACTGTGCTCTAAGGTGCAAGATAATTTTTTTTTTTGCAGTTTTTGGCCAGGGCTAGGTTTGATACCTCTGGTATATGGGACCGGCACCCTACTCCTCTGAGCCACAGGCGCTGCCCGCAAGATAATCTTTTTGAAGTACTGTTGCGGGGAAAAAGATGATACTTTATTCCTTACAATTTAAAAATTATGGTGGCAAGAGATATACATTTCCTAAGAAAGGTCATTTTCCTTTTACCTGTTTTCTCTCTTTAGGATTGAGAAGTAAATACCGAGGATCAAAAACTATCTTGTGCAACTCCTTCTCCCATGTTGAAAAAGCAGATACCTTTAAAATAAAAACGTATTGCCTCATAATTAAGTTTGTTCTAAAAACATAAAGGTCATAATTTTGCTTGAAATCTACAGGATATCTGTTTATAAAGAGGACATAAAAACCATACTGACGTTTCCATCACTAATAAATGACAAGCAGTGGGAGGCTAGCAAAAGTAAAACTCTACACTAATTGGCTCTGAACATTTCTATATTACATAGAAATAACACACACTTAATTACTCATTAAAATAACCACTACTGTGTGACATTTTAAAAATCAGTACATCAGAAAAAGCCTTGAAGATTTGCATTTTGATTTTCCATGCTTGCTCTCAACTTGTGAACAATTCTGTGATTTAAAATTGAACAATTTTACTTAGTCAAATGAATCGGTGAATATAAACCCAAAAGTTGAAAACCCTTCTCAATTAAGCTTCTAATAATATCATAAAGTATCAGCTCTCCTTTAACCAAAAGCCATTCTGAAGATATTAAAGGAAGAATAATCACATATGCCTTACCTATCCCAGTAGTCCGCCATTCTGTAATGTTAATACTCGTCTTACATTACTCACCAAAATTTAATGACCCAATAAATGTTAAGTGTTATTTGTACTTTAAAAGGACGGTAAAATGGTATTTAGTTAAATGGGATATGATGAGCCAAGAAATAGGCTGTTTCCCCAAAACGTACAGTAATTTTGATAGGGTTCCCCTAAACCCCTCCCCCCCACAACATAAGCACTAACCTTAGATTTGACCTTTTAGCAAGACATATTTATATTACTTATACAAAACAGAAATATCTCCCCCAAAGATTGTTTTCTGACCCCTCTCTCTAGCAGCATGTCCTTGAACTGCTTCATTCGAGCCTCCAGAGGGACAATGGCCCTTTCTCGGGCAGCTTTAATTTCAGCTTCCATGGCAGCTTCTTTCTCTGAGTCAATGTCTTTATTATCGTCTCTCCTATAAAAAATAAAATATAAGGCATCAATTAACAAAATATTAATAACAGATCTTACTAAAATATTAAAATCAATGGAATTTCCAAGACTCACTACTGAGCAGCATATTTTTGGCAAAAACAAATTAAATTGAGTGTTTCAAATGAACTCTAAGGAATAAACAACTTTCATTACAATAATAAAATTAAAATGAGCTTCCAATGATGTTACAATGGCTACGTTGTTAGGAAAAAAATATATACCCTTAATGTGCTGTATCTCCCTAACAGTAACTGATACACAAAAAGTAAACTACAATACTTTAAAAAGAAAAAAAAGGCTTAGCTAACACTGTAGCAAAACTGTGTGTTAGAATCAAACAGCACAAAATACTTTTTTAGTTCTTCAAATAATATAGAAAAAAAACTGTATTTTCCAAAATGTTTTACATTTTAAATATGTAAAATATTTTTAAATCTAATAAAAATTGGTATTAAGTGGTATTACATTTTAGTACTCTCAAACATTTATTTTGAAAATAAAATTAAAATATCTGTAAATTTGGCCAAGTGAGTATGTGAGATATATACCTTACCTACCTGACATTTTTATTACTCACTTTCTGGGTGATAAGTTGATATTTAAGCTGAAGGGCAGGTCCCAGAGAACAACATGGGCCCAGGAGTAGTTAGGTGAAATTATAACTGCTCATCAATGACTAAACTACTGCTTGTTCCTCCAAAAATGCACCTCAGGGCTAAGGACAACCCTGTTGTGGTATACTACTCAAGTGAGATTTTAACATAAAATCAAGTCACCTCTCAAACACATGCACTATGAAAAAGGCCCATTCAAGTAAATAATCCAAAAAAGTAAGTAATTTAGTAACACTTGAGTATTTTCAGCAGATCTTACTTCTTAAATATGATCTGCTAAGTTTATTAATAAAATTGGCCCATATTCTCTATACAAATTTAAGGGAGTTAGGAAAAGAAAATATCTAGAAATTCAAAAGCATGCTATATGGGGAACTGTAGGTAGCCCAAGAGATTTAACTGGAAATAAGGCTAACCCACAAATTCAAGTGAGAGGTAATTAGCACTTAGGGAATGAATCAAAAGAAACAGAAGACATAGTCCATGACCTGCAGGAACTTAGCGAGATAGTCTGTGACCTAAGATATGCACAAAACAAACAGGTAAAAGCAATTTGCCAAACAATATATCCTCTTATACTAATTTATTTAAGAACTATTCAAATAAAGAGTTAAAAGACATCCAAGAAATATAATAACTAATGAAAACAAATAACCTTTAAAGAATTATACTAAATGAAAATGTCACAATACAAGCTATCACTATCTATCTCAATAAAAGAAATAAAAGAAAAACTAAGCCAGGAAAAACAGGCTTTTAGCTTTGTACCTAAATAGAGAAGCTCGGGCAATCCACATAAAGGACTTCTTTGACATTCTCCTGATAAAAGCAGTTAAAAACCTTACAGAGTTGTCTATAAGAACAAACAATTAAAAACAACCTAAAAGTTTAACATTGTAGAAACATCCAAAATTATGATACATAAACAGAATGAATACAGTCATTTATAATAATTAAGAAAATGTGTCTTAGTCCAGATTTTTTAAAAGAACACAAAATCATTTAATTACAACTAATAAAAATACATTTAGTCAAAAACTAAAAATTAATTGTAAAAATGAAAATACAGTGATAATTATGAATATCTTAATTTATTTAATATTGTTGCCAATCAACACATTTTTAAAGAAGAACCACCCTTACAGGGGTTGTCTTACTGATTTCCTTGCCATAATTTGGCTGCATTCAATCTGTCCTTTTTAGATAAGGACTATGATTAACCAGTAATGTCTTTAAAGTTTCCTTTTTGCTGCTAAATAATGGTCCCATTCCCCCCACCACACACACCCCACTTCTATCCCACCCCTCCACCTCCCACAGTAACATTTATATTTTACATAGCTCTAGAGCACTAGTCAAGCTAATGCTTTAACTTCTAACATTCTTTCTCCCAGAGCACTTCTTAAGCCCACCAGTTCACTCTTTACCAAGCAGTCATGACAACAGACTCAAGGACTAGGAAAGACACAAGATAAGTAATAATGTGAGAGAAGTCTGGGTCTGTTACTGTGAGATCTCTGGAATTATATCTGTTGAGATCTATCTATATATTCAGGAAGAAACTTATTTATATAATTCAAACTTAAGAAATTTCTGAAGAGAATTAATTTTGAAAATGTCATTTGGCTTCATAATACATATTTGAATAACCAAATCTTTTACAAATCTAGCAACAGAAGGGACACATTTTCTACACTATAAAACAAAGCTATTTATTATCAGGCCTAAGAGTATAATCATGACTTGTCTCCTAACAGTATTCACATTAACTGTTCATTCCAGTCACAAACTGATCATGACCTAATCAAATTTTTAAAAGGTATAATCTGCCTGAATTACACAAACTATATGTATTACTTACTTCCGTTTTTTTGCTTTAACAGGCTCATCTTCATTAATTTCTTCCATTAGGTCTTGTTCTTCTTTAACTGAACAAAATTCAATTAAAATATTTAGCCATGAATTCTTCAGCTAATCACTACTAGAACACTTGCTTTAATCGTATTAAATAGAAGCTATAATCTATCATTATCACTCACTTGCACTCATAGAGAATTGCCACTTTTGGATGGACAGCATTGTTGGGGTTGGATGCCCTGGCAAAAACATTACAAATATTGTTATGAATAGTTATTGCATATATTTCACAAATTTCTTTTTTAATTACCATTTGTATAAAATGTCTACCTCTCAATATTCATTCCTTTATAAAACACTAATAATTCTATACCTCCTCTATTTATCCTCCTTTTACATTAAATTTTCAATTCATTTTGAATAGTTTCTGGCCCAAACCTTAAATCTATAAATACATAAACCTTTCTAGATTCAGGATTTAATTACCTTTTTACGATTCATATTAATGTGCTTATCAAGTGAATAAATCAAATGTTTAAAAATAAACTCAAGGCTCAGCACCTGTAGCATAGTGGTTATGGGATCAGCCGTACACACTAAGGGTGGCGGGTTCAAACCTGGCCTGGACCAGCTAAACAAATGATGACAACTGCAACAAAATAGCCAAGCGTTGAGGCAGGCACCTGTAGGCCCAACTACTTGGGAGGCTAAGGCAAGAAAATCACTTAAGCCCAAGCCTTTGAGGTTGCTGTGAGCTATGATACCCCAACACTCTACCGAGGGCAACATAGTGAGACCCTGTCTCTAAAAAAAAAAAAAACTTATATAAAACAAAAGTAAATCACATACTTTCTCAGTCTCATCCAGTACTATGATTATAAAGTATCATTAATATCATAAATATTGCTAGAGAGGTGCCTAGTACCTTCAGCACCAGACAGGCAAGGCTGCACTGCTTCAAACACTATTTGTAAGAGGAAAATGTCAGTACCACATATATGCTATACATGAAAATTTCTCAATCACTAGAATATATATAAGCACTTATTTCACTATAAGTATTAAATGATTCATTTGTCTTGCTTCTGTACTACATGGAGGCCAGGGCTCAAGAAAAACACAATCATGTCAGTATAAGGGCAAATTACCAATAAGAAATACACAACAAAAATTATACAAATACATATACACTCAATACACTGGAAAAGATAATCTCTTAGTAAGATTTAGGTGTCTCTATATTATCAGCAATAAGGATTATTATAATCATCTGGCTCAAAGACTAAATTTTTGTATTTTTACAAAATTTTGCATTTTGTATTGTGAAACAAAATTTTAGTAAATGAAATATTTTTTAAGACCTCTGGGTAGTTTTGATTACTCAAAAACCTATTACTAATCACAAAAGGTGCTGAAAGGCTCACTAGTGAGCACTTTGGTAGTATTATTACTATAAGCACCAAGCAGCAAGCAACAACATTACCAGCAGATCTTAAACTAAGTCAAAGTCTTGAAAATAAATTAAAAATATACATCTTTACATACCATAATCTTACCCAAATTCTTAATTTTAAATCCCTATTATTTCACTCAAACTAGTAAGCAGAGCTTTTTTTATTTCCTTTAAAATTTCTTGAAAAATAAAAGTTTTTATATGGCCTTCACATTTTTTCTCAAGATATTAAAAGAACGTTAAAATTGAGATATATTCCTAATTTAATACTCACTTAGTTTCTTCATGTCTTCCATTCCTTTTTTATGAGGGGGCTCCTGAATAATTTTGTCAACATCTGCCCTTCCAATCAGATCATCAGGTCGGTCCCACATAGAAAGACGAGTGGTAGGATTGTAAAAGAAAACCCGTTCATCACCGGTCCAAACAACACACCTAAGAATTGATTCAAAATAATTTTTTGTGTTATAGACCATATTTTATGGTTAGATCTACTACTATCACCCTGTCAAAGGGGGAAGAGGAAGGCAGTGAGGAAGGATATGTTCTTACTATCAATAATTTTATTTATAAAAAACTAAAACATGTCTTTTCAAACAGAAGAGAACTGAAGAAGGTAAAAACAGCAGCTCAACATATTAACCAAGATAAACAGGAAAATGCAAAGCAATTTGTGATGAGAGTTCAGGATGCTTAGGAAGCTGGCTCTGTACACTCGATTTGAGAGTAGTAAATTTTAAACTACCACAAAGGATCAATTTAATGAGTTAATAATAATGCTATTAAGCAGTTCTAAAACTAAAGGATAGACCATTAACACCCTACTGTGGACGTCTTAATTTTTTTTTTTTTTAGAGACAGAGTCTCACTTTATGGCCCTCAGTAGAGTACTTTAGCGTCATAGCTCACAGCAACCTCTAGCTCTTGGGCTTAGGTGATTCTCTTCCCTCAGCCTCCTGAGTAGCTGGGACTACAGGCACCTGCTACAATGCCTGGCTATTTTTTGTTGTTGTTGTTGTTGCAGACCAGGGGACCAGGTTCGATCCCGCCACCCTTGGCATATGGGGCCGATGCACTACTCACTGAGCCACGGGCACCACCCTTCTTAATATTGTTTAACAGACTAAAATTATATACTCAAATGCAACCTTCCATGAAGACTGCAAGATCTAATTATATCTGCAATAAAAAAGTAAAAAGAGGTATCAATTGTGCTAGGGCACCATACACCACCATAGCTCCACTACTGCCCACTGGTCCTATTAATTATAAGTAGAAAACTTTGACCAAAAAAAAAAAAAAAAGATTGTAGAGTCTGTACAATCTTAAAAAAATAAACAAACTGAAAACAGTTTGGGAGATAGTAAAATTTAGAACTAAATTTTAGAGAGTAAATTTTCCACTTTACGCAGTCTGACAGCTCTGCCCTGAGGGTAACTCCAGGTTGCAGAGCTGCATGGTGGTAGTAGCACAAGCAGCTAAAACTCCAGTATAAACCAGGGCTTCATGGCCAGATAACCAAAAGTTAATCAACATTTGTCAAGCCCAAGGTCATCTAAATGTTGAAATTATCAGACAAAGCATTCTATGTTGAAATAGTCATACAAAAACCTTAGAGCAAAAATAACTAGACTTCATGAGATTAAAAAAAATACTTAGAATAAGTGAAAAGATAGGCGTTCTCAGTAGAGAAATAAAACCATAAAAAATAAAAATTTTAGAAATTAGGCTCAGTGCCTAATTCCATAGTTCAAGCAGCTAGGGCGCCAGCCACATACAACAAAGCTGGCAGGTTCAAATCCAGCCCAGGCCCACCAAACAACAACTACAACCAAAAAACAGCCAAGCGTTGTGGTGGGCACCTGTAGTCCCAGCTACTTGGTAGGCTGAGGCAAAATAATCACTTAAGCCCAAGGGTTTGAGGTTGCTGTGACCTGTGTTGCCATAGCACTCTAACCAGGGCAACAGGTTGAGACCCTGTCTCAAAAAAAAAAAAAAAAAAAAAGAAAGAAAGAAAAGAAAAAATTTATAAATCAAAAATAACTGAAATTTCACTTGATTGGCTCAAGAACAGAACAGAGAAGACAGAGGAAATAATCAGTAAACTAGGGGCAGCGCCTGTGGCTCAAAAGGGTAGGGCACCAGCTCCATATGCCGGAGGTGGTGGGTTCAAACCCAGCCCCAGCCAAACAAACAAACAAAAAAAAAAAAACAATCAGTAAACCAGAGGATGAACCAATAATTATCCCACCTGATAAAACAGACACTGGGAGAATAATTAACAAAGCCTCAAGAACCTATGGGACTGTAACAAAATGTCTAATATGCATATAATGAGGTTCCAAAGCAGAAAGAGAATGAGGCAGAAAAAATTTGAAGACATAATGGCCAAAAATATCTCCCAATTTGTTAAAAAGCAAATATACATGTCAAAGAAGCTCAGCAAATTCCAAATAGGATAAACTTCAAGATACACATAAGACAAACAGGTGAAAATCAAAAATGAAGCAAAAAGACCTTGATAGCAGATAGCTTAAAAAGAAAGAAAGAAAAGGTACAATACACACAGAGAAAAAGAGAAATAATTCCAAAGACCATGGATTTCTCATCAGAAACCACAGAAGTCGGCCTCTTAATTTACCAGCCCTGACAATGGAGATCTGCTCACTGCCTGCGGAGAACTGTAAACTTTCTTACTCTGTAAACATCTTCCTCAATAAACCTAGTTCCAAGCTTGCCTTAACTTAAACAAACAAAAAGAAACCACAGAAGCCAAAATACAGTAGAACAACATGTTTAATGTTCAAGTAAAAAAAGAACTGCCAGCCCCAAAATCCATAGCCAGTAAAAATAACCTCAGAAACAAGGGCAAAAACGAAATATTTTGAGATGAAGAAAAACTAAGAAATTTCATCTCCCACATCTCCATTCTTCATGCTGAAAGGGAATGATACTAAAGAGAAAACTGGATCTTTAAAAATGAAGAAAAAAACAACAGAAATGGTAAATATAAAAGATATTTTCTTCATCAGTTCTTTAAAATACATATGAAAAATTATACTACTATATTCCTGAAAACCCCATCAGGTTCAAAACTACCAAAACTATCCGTAAGTGCAGGGCAATTAAATCAATAACTTAAACACTCATCCTAGAAAGAACTATACCAATAACCTAGGAATTCACATATGAAAACAAAAAAGGAGTTAGGAGATACAAAGTAAACCCAAAGTATGTAAAAGAAAGCCAGCCGAGGCAGCGCCTGTAGCTCAGTGATTAGGGTGCTGGCCACATACATCAAGGCTGGCGGGTTCCAACCCAGCCCAGGCCAGCTAAAGCAACAATCACAAATGCAATGAAAAAATAGCCAGGGAGTTGGGGGGCGGGGGGGAGCACCTGTAGTCCCAGCTACTTGGGAGGCTGAGGCAAGAGAATCTCTTAAGCCCTAGAGTTGGAGGTTGCTGTGAGCTGTGATCCCAGAGCACTCTGCCCAGGATGACAGCTTGAGACTCTGCCTCAAAAGAAAAAAAAAACAAACCAACATTAAAAACTCTCAGAATCAAAAACTAATGTTTACTGATCCTAGAGAATATAAAATGCTTCTAATTTTTACCTCTCTATTAATTTTCAAAAATGTGTCAAACTAAATTCATGAAAAATCATCCCAGTGGACATAAAGGAAACAGAAAACTATGTTTTACATGTAGTTCCTTATCTCCAAAGAAACAGTAATCACAAGATAGCAAGAGACAGAAATACTAACTAAAATACGATTATCCAAATTATGTAGCATATTCTCCTCAGCTGAACAATCTATTTAGCTTAAAGTTAGTACTTAACCATTTAGCAATAAATGGCTTTCAGATGAATTATGAAAGCACTAGGAATAGAGACACGCACTTGGGGGTGTGGGAGACAGAAATGCTTCCTAAAAAGATAATGAACCTAGAAGCTATAAATAAAAAAAGATCAATCGGGCAGTGCGCAGTGGTTCACACTTGGTGAATCACCTGAGCTCAGGAGTTCTAGACTATCCCAAGCAAGAGTGAGACCCCCATCTCTACTAAAAATAGAAAAAACTAGACAAGTATTGTTGTGGGTGCTTGTAGTCCCAGCTACACAGGAGGCTGAGGGAAGAGGATCGCTTGAGCCCAGAGTTTAAGGATACTATAAGCTATGACACCAGGGCCCCCTACCCAGGGCAACAGAGTGAGACAGGTCTCGGGGAAAAAAAATGTTTATCAATTTGACCTCATCAAAATATGAAATTTATAAAAAACAGGATACCAAAGCAAAAATCAAAAGAGGGAAACTGCAATACATGTAAAAGTCAAAGGATTAGTAACAATACACATAAAAAGCTCCCAAACATCACAATGAAAAAGTCCATTAAAAAAAGCATAAAGGGGGCAGAGCCTGTGCCTCAAAGGAGTAGGACGCCAACCCCATATGCCGAAAGTGGAGAGTTCAAACCCAGCCCCGGCCAAAACCCGCAAAAAAAAAAAAAAAGAAAGGAAAAAAGCATAGGGCAGCACCTGTGGCTCAAAGGAGTAGGACACCAGCCCCATATGCCGAAGGTGGCAGATTCAAATCCAGCCCCGGCAAAAAACTGCAAAAAAAAAGCAAAAATGTGCAAAGACAATTGCCAGCCAAGAAATAAGTTCAAATCGCGCCAGTATTCAAGATAGAGATCTTTTATCAGAACTGTAAAAGATCACTATAGTACACAAAGATCTGAAAAGAGTATATCACTACATTACACCATGTGTGAGCAAAACGTGGTAATCTCTGGCTTTTGGTGGGAGAATTAACTGGTGCCTTCCAACCCTCCCAATGAGCTCTATTTGGCAATATGCAATAGAACTTTAAACAGATATTATCCTTTTATTCAGGAATTTCACTTCTAGGAATGAATCCAATAGAAATACTTGCATGTGTTCACAAAGAAATATGTATAAAGATGTCATAAATAGCACCTTCTGTAATGCCAAGGGCAAAAAAAGGGGAAAACCACATGTGTAGGAAAATTATGCATTTTCATATAATAGAGAACTATGCTGTCATGAATAGATTTCAACAGACTAAAATAGCAAGATTTCTGACACATATTTACTTTTAAAACCTGAGGAATAATACATATTTTTTTCTTTCTGGAGAGAGTTTCACTCCATCACCCTGGGTAAAGTGCTGTGATATCATCATAGCTAGCAGTAACCTCCAACTCTTGGGCTCAAGCCATCCTCTTGCCTCAGCCTCCCAAGGAGCTTCAACTATAAGTGTGTGCACCACCACACACCTATAGTTCAGGAAAACCCAGCTGGTTTTCCTGGGTTTTTTGTTTGTTTGTGTTTTGGGGTTTTTTTTGAGACTATGTTGCCCTGGGTACAATGCCGTGACATCACAGCTCGTAACAACCTCCAACTCTTGGGCTTAAGCGATTCTCTTGCCTCAGCCTCCCAAGTAGCTGGGACTACAGGCACCTGCCACAACACTATCTTGTTCTTGTTGTTGTTGTTCATGGTGGTGGTGGTGGTGCACTTGTTTAGTTGGCCCAGGCCACGTTTGAACTCGCCACCCTCGGTGTATGTGGCTGGCACCATAATCACTGTGTTACGGGCGCTGAGCCCAGTTTTCCTGTTTTTAGTAGAGATGGGGGTCTCACTCTTGCTCAGGCTGGTCTCCAACTCCTAAGCTCAAGCATGTACCAGCCTCCCTGAGTGCTAGGATTACCCTTTGACTACATGCAAGTGCTCAGAAATAAAACATGCCTACAGGCTCAGCATCTGTGGCTCAAGTGGCTAGGGTGCCAGCCACATATACCACAGCCGGTGGGTTCGAATCCAACCCAAGCCTGCCAAATGATGACAACTACAACTAAAAACACACACACACACACACAGCTGAGCATTGTGGCGGGTGCCTGTAGTCTCAGCTATTTGGGAAGCTGAGGCAAGAGAATTGCTTAAGCCCAAGAGTCTGAGGTTGCTGTGAGCTGTGATGCCACGGAACGCTACCAAGGGTGACATAGTGAGACTGTGTCTCAAAACAAACAAACAACAAAAACAACAACAAAACATGCCTACAGTCATCGTTAGCAGCAAACTACATCTCACACTGAAAGCCTAAAGGCATCGTTCACAGGGAAGAAATGCCTTGTTTGAACACCTAGGCTTGGTAGTCAAAAGGTTAACGAAAATACAAATAACCACACACATACTCCTACACATAAACACACAACGCAAGATAACAAAAAGTACAGAAGTCATACCAAACTTTTTATTAATGGAAAAGTCTGATGAAGTTATAATTTTTTACAATTCTTTCATATTCTGTGCCTTTTTTTGAATTCAACTATTCTAAATCACCCCCAAAAGACCAATCCTGAATCTACTCATACTTCTAAATCTGTTTGCCTGTTTGTAGGAAATTCAGAAACAGAAATTCAGTACCATGGGGACACAATATCCAGATTTTGGAATGCTACAAGAAAAACATTAATTTTTTCAATGACAAAAACCAGAAAAAAATAAGGAAAAGCAGCTGAGAAGGAACCTATAGATTATAATTACCTATAGATTGCTTCTTATGGAAGAGCAAAGGAGGCAGATTCTTGAAATAAAATCTACTTTTGATGAAGGTGCTGTAACACTGTTGCAGAGATACTAAAGGATTTAGAATATTACATAAATTTACTTGGCAAAGCAGCAACAGGGTGCACTAATTTTGATTAGAGATTATAGATTACAAGACTTCAGAAACAAGCCAATTCACTGCAGTGTGAGGAGGGCGTACAAGCAGTCCCAGAGTTACAAACATCTAACTTACATACAACTTAACAGTTACGAACAGGCTATTACAGGTAATAGGTAAATGTGCCTATTCCAACTTACATAAAAATCCAATTTAAGAACAAACCTACAAAACTTATCTCCTTTGTATCCCAGGGACTGCCTGTAACAAATTAAATGAGTTGCAGCAGGAACAGGAAAAAGAAGCAACACCAGTATACCTCACAGATATTGCAGATTCCATTCCAGACCACCCCAATAAGGCTAATATCACAATACAGTGAGTAACAAAAACTGTACTTTCCAGTCCATGTAAAAGCATATGCTTTACACTAAGCTATTGCCCAGGAAGTGTATAATAGCATTATATATACACAATGTACATACCTTTGTTAAAAAAAATACTTTATTACTAAAATATGCTAACAATCACTGAAGCCTTCAGCAAGTCTTGGGGAAGGCAAAGGGTCTTGCCCTGGATCCTGACGGCTCTGACTGATTTGAGTGGTTGGTTGCTGAAGGTTAGGGTGGCTGTGGCAATTTCTTAAAATAAGACTATGAAGTTTACCTTATCAATTGACTCTCCCCTTCATAAGAGACTTCTTGGCATGTGACACTATTGGATACCATTTTACCTACAGCCGAAATTTAAAATTACAGTAAACCAAAATCAGACCACCCTGTTGCTGCTTCATCAACTAAGTTTATGTAATATTCTAAATCCTTGGTATCCCTGCAACAATGTTCACAGCACCTTCATCAAAAGTAGATTCTATTTCAAGAATCTACCTCCTCTGCTCTTCCATAAGAAGCAAACTCCTCATCCACTCAAGTTTTCTCATAAGATTGCCGCAATTCAGCCACATCTTCGGGATCCACTTCCAGTTTTCCTGCTATTTTCACATCTGCAGTGACTTCTTTTACTGAAGTCTTAAATCCCTCAAAGTTATCCTTGAGAGTGAGAATCAACTTATTCCAAACCCCAGTTAATGTTGATATTTTCGATTACTCCCATGAATCATGAATGTTCTTAATAGCATCTAGAATGATCACTCATTTCCAGAAGACTTTCAATTTACTTTGTACAGATACATCAGAAGCATCACTATCCATGGAGCTATAGCCTTATAAAATTTATTTCTTAAATAAGAACTGAAAGTCAGAATTACTCCTTGATCTATGGGCTACAGAATAGATGTCGTGTTAACAGGAATAAACACCTTAATCTCCTTATACATCTCCATCAGAGCTTGTGGGGAACCAGGTGCACTGTCAATGAGCAGGAACAGTCTGAAAGCAATCTTTCTTTCTCAGCAACAGGCCTGAGTGGGCTTAAAATATTCAGTAAATCATGCCATAAACAGATCTGGTATCATTTGGGCTTTGCTGCTCCACTGGCATAACAGAATTTAGCATTATTCACAATGGCCTTAGAATTTTCAGAATGGTAAGCGAACATCAGCTTCAACCCTAAGCGACCAGCTGCATTAGCCCCCAACTTGAGTCAGCCTTCAAGCTCTAAAGTCAGGTACTGACTTCTTCCTAGCTATAAAAATCCTAGATGCAAACAGAAGGCTCTCTGATATAGGCTGAAAATTTGTTCTTTAATGCAGTTACCTTCATCAATAATCTTAACTAGACCTTGTGGTTAACCCGCTATAGTTTCTATATCAGCACTTGCTGCTTCACCTTGCCCTTTCATGTTATGGACATGACTTCTTTCCTTAAACCTCATGAAGCAATGTCTTCCAGCTGCCAACTTTTCTTGTGCAGCATTCTCTCCTCTCTGAGCCTTCAAAAAATTGAACAGAAGTGGGTCCTTGGTCTGTATTAGGCTTTGGCTTAAGGGAATGTTGTAGCTGGTCCGATCTGTCCAGATCACTCAAATTTTATCCATATCAGTAAGATCGCTTTGCTTTCTTGTCATTCATGTGTTCACTCAAATAGCACTTTTAATTTCCTTTCAGAATTTTTCCTTTGCATTCACAACTTCAGCTGACTGGTATAAAAAACCAAGCTTTTGGCCTGCCTTGGATTTTTTTTTTTTTTTTTTTGGGACAAAGTCTCAAGCTGTTGCCCTGGGTAGAGTGCTGTGATATCACAGCTCACAGCAACCTCAAACTCTTAGGTTTAAGCAATCCTCTTACCCTAACCTCCCAAGTAGTTGGGACTACAGGCACCGCCACAGCGCCCAGCTATTTTTTTGTTGCAGTTGTCACTGTTGTTTAGCTGGCCAGGGTTGGGTTCGAACCCACCTCTCTTGGTGCATGTGGCCTGAGCCATAACAACTGTGCTATGGGCGTTGAGCCCTGGCTATTTTTTTGTTGTTGTAGTTGTCATTGTTTACTGGCCAGGCCAGGTTCTAACCTACCAGCCTCAGTGTATGTGGCCAGTGCCCTTACCCACTGAGCTACAAGTGCCACCTATCTTGGATTTTTATAAGCCTTCCTCCTTAAGCTCAATCATTTCTAGCTTCTGAGTTATAGTGAAGTCATACAACTTTCTTTCAACATATATAGTTATTAATTAACCTATTCATCATATTATTGTGTCTCAGGTAATAGAGAGGCCCAAATGGAGGGAAATGGGGAAACAGATGGTTGGTAGAGTAATCAAAACACACAACATTTACCTGGGTGAGGTTTGTGGCACCCTAAAGAATTACAACAGTAATACCAAAGATCACTGATTCTAGATCACCATAATAGATGTATTAATGAAGAAAGTTTGAAATACAGTGAGAATTAGCTCAGTGTCCATAGCATAGTGGTTACAGTGCCAGCCACATACACTGAGGGTAGCAGGTTCGAACCTGGCCTGGGCCAGCTAAACAGCAATGACAGCTACAACAAAAAAGTAGCCAGGCGTTGTGTTGGGAGCCTATAGTCCCAGCTACTTGGGAGGCTAAGGCAAGAGAATCACCTAAGCCCAAGAGTTGGAGGTTGCTGTGAGATATGATGCCACAGCACTTTATTAAAGGTGGCACAGTGAGACTCTGTCTCAAAAAAATAAATAAATATAGTGAGAATTACCTAAATGTGACAGAGCGATGGCACGGATAGACACAGGGTTACCACAAACCTTCAAATTGTAAAAAATGTAGTATCTGTGAAGCACAATGAAGCAGAGAACGATACAAGGTCTGCCTGTGCTTAGATAAAAGAAATAATTTTACATACTTCTATAAATGTAATTATATAGTGGATGTGCACACGAAAACAAATTTAAAGCATTTTAAATAATAAAAAGTATATTAGGGTCTCACAGTGGGTCATGTCTATGATTATGAGCAAAGATTAATGGAGAATACCACACAGGAAGACACTTGTAGCAACTGAAATTTAGATGCGAATACCCCAAACACAACAATAACCCAAATATTCAGCAGATTAAAACATATTTGACATATATATACTTTTAAGGTACTTTTTCTTCCTACAAAATAAACCATGTAAGAAATAAGTATAGTTTTTTTAAAAAAGAAAGAGAAACTTATCGATTAATAATTAAGCTAAATGCATACCATGGAGTACCAGGAATAGGAGTAGTAGCTACTGGCTTTGCCTTCTGGGCCGCCTTTTCTTCTTCAGTCATCTCCTCCTCTTTGGGCTCCTATGGGGAAAAATATTACTCCCATTTAATTACTATCAGAAAACCATACTTAAATATTCCACAAAAAAGAGTGTAACTGAAAACACCTCCAAGTGCAAAAAGGTCAGTTGTTAGAATAAGGATGGGATAAGTAGGAATTTCTAAAAAACAATTTCTAAATCCTTTCCCACATAGAACCCAGGAGCAGCATCTGGTCTTACCTTATAAATTCACTAACCATGTGATCAGGAACAAAATTGGAGAACTACAGTATAAAGAATCAGAGGAGACTTCTTCATTTAACACTGTTTCTGATCTCTGCTAACTGGCCTACTACTGAAATATGGCCATCATTAGTCCTTCACTGAATCAAGGAAGCTTCCAAAAAGCAATTCTTTTAGTGCTATAAAGGCATCATTCCAAGCCAAAACACAACAGCAGAGAGGACAGATAAAACACATCCAACATTTCCCAAACATGAAGTTATAATTTTAACATGTACCAGTCTCTAAGTCAAGAGATTAGAGATCAGGTCCCAAGCTCTGGTCTAAGGCCTCTTCTGTCTATGGCCTTCAGTTTAGTGTAAGGCCATAATATAAATTTAATGAAATTTTCAAAGGAAAAACTAAATTAGAATCTTCAAAGATCCCTAAGATTTCAAAGAGCAAATTCATAATAATTATTTAAAAATATATCAAGCAGATATTAAAAATAAATTGTACTAAACAACTAATATGGCTCCCAGCTGCACAGGTCATGGCCCTTTACCTCCTTTATCTCCTTTATAGGCTCTTCTTTAGGATCCTCCTCCTCTGTCTCCATTGGCAGAGGTTCTTCAGAAGGTTCTTTAATTGGCTCTTTAATCTTCTCTTCTAATTTTTCTATTAAGAAATTAAGATGATATAACTCAAATGTTTTGATATGATTTCCTAAGATCATTCAGAGAATAAGCAATTAAGATATTCCATTTCTAGGCACTGACCACACAGATAAAACGTCTGTCTTCATATAATCATTGATTTAACTCTATTTTTATACTCAACTTTCTTTTT